TTAAATATATCATAGAGCTGCCAATGTACATGAGCAAAATGTACAGCAAGAATTAAATCCCTGACTTCGAATTTGGACAGCCAAACGTTCCCGCTGCGACAGACTGCTTCCACAATTACTTACTGAGACTGGGTGGTATCACTTTCATTCATGAGAGTCAGTGAGTCTTGCGTCTCAGCACTTGTAGCAGACATAGAAATGTTGTTTGTTGGATCACTCATTGTTGACAGTGATCGCTTTAGGCTCTGGTAGTCGCCCGAGGTTCTGTTCAATTTTTGGTACTATGAAATACAACAAAAACAAAGATTTCTCAATTCACTCTGGTTAGGTGCTCTTTTGATAACCTAATAAAACATTATTTAATTAGGTTTATATTCTGTTTTGGTTTTGATATCACAAATCTATGTTATTATATACTATTAATAATTTTAAATTTGTGGTTGAAGTCTCAAACAGGAATATACAAAATTCAGAAATTTGTGAAAATATCATTAAAAGAGTATCTAATTAAAGTGCTATTTTTAAGGAAATTTATTATGTTTTTAATTACTGTTTGCTTTGAATACTCATGTAAATACTATGCTGGCCCTTCAGAATGCAAATTTATATGAATGAATGAATATATGAATGAATAAATCAATATATAAAAATGAATGAAGGAATATATGAGTAAATAAATGGATGAATATTTTTAATTACTGTTTGCTTTGAATACTCATGTAAATATTATGCTGGCCCTTCAGAATGCAAAATATATGAATGAATGAATATATGAATGAATAAATCAATATATAAAAATGAATGAAGGAATATATGAGTAAATAAATAGATGAATATTTTAATGAATGAATAAATAAATAAATAAATGAATGAATAAATGAATGACTATATGAATGAATTAATATATGAATGAATGAATATATGAATGAATGAATAAATGAATGATGAATGAATAAATGAATAAATGAATAAATGAATAAATGAATAAATGAATAAATGAATGATGAATGAATATATGAATAAATGAATATACGAATGAATAAATAAACAAATGAATGAATGAATGAAGAAATGAGTATATGAATAAAAGAATATATGAATGAATGAATGGAGGATTCTGAAAGATTGCTTTAAAGCTAAAGTCAATAATGAAATTGCAGCTCTATTTAGAACTGTTTTTTTTTTTTTTTTTTTTTTTTAACTATACCATTGAATTTGAAACAAGAATACTCACCACAATCCTCAACAGGTTCCACATATCTGATTGTCTCTGTATTTGAACACCCTTTATTTGAATTGTGTTTTCATGGATAATTTTAACAAACACTTGCATTTCCCTCAAAATGTCCTGAATTTCTTGTTTAATGTGTAATATTTTTCTGAAAAAAAACAAAAAGAATAATAGAAATAAAAATAAATAATAATAATAATAATAATAATAATAATAATAATAATATTAGCAAATAATGATATGGAAATCCTATTGAATCTAAAGCTTACTGTTTTTGGTTTCATCACTTAATCATTATCAATCATTTGCAAATACAGTAGTGCTTAATATAAATTTCTCTTTGAATATCGCTGTAAAGGCAAGACATGTATGGTGGTTTACAGTTCCCTGGAATGGACAGATCCATTACTTTTTAGGGGTATTCTATCTAGTTAAAAAAATAATGGTAGTTTTCAAATTATCCAGATAAATATTTAAAAATATCACTACTAAATACTAATTCACTTCCTATGGGGATGAACATTATTTTTCTGGTGTTGAAACAGTGATTTTACTGATTGCAATAGAATCCTTGTAAGTAGCCTCCTTGGAGCTTTATCCCCTTGGTGACACTGACAATAACAATGGATCACTATAATAAAAACACTTCATCATCTTTTACAAGTGCATATTATATGACTCCATGTTTATATAATAGAATTTATAAATAGCACGTCTTACTGAATATGTGACAATAACTCTTTGGTGAGCTTCTTTCTCATATCAAGACAGGGTTTTAACTGATTCACCAGTTTGACACTATCACTAAACAAATGCCCATCATCTATGTTAAACAAAAGAAAGACACTACTGTTACAAGAATGTCAAGTATTGCTTTGACTTACTCAATGCAGCATAGTAAGTATTATATATCCCATAAATAGATTCTAGGCATCTGATTGGTTAAGATTGGGCAATAGAAAGTACCATTCATAAAGTACTATTCCCCTGAAAAATAGTATTTTTTTGCCCTGTCGCATATGCAAAATTAGGGCCCACTTAACATCGACTGACGGTAAAGGGGACTGCGACCTCTACGACAAAAGAGATTGGCCCTTGACGCGCCACGGATCAGTGAGTAGACGATAAACAAATATGGAGGCTAGGCCTAGTTGGTCTGAGCTCCTGGATAAAGGACTAGCGTAGGCCTAGCATTACTTCTTGATGAAGGTGATAGCAAAAGCACCAAAAGTCAATTAAATATGCCTTGTCAATATTCAATAAATATTTCAAGATGATGAGTGCTGTTGAAATTGAGGAAATAAGCAAAGAAGAGTGCACTCAATGATGGTACATTTATGTTGGTTGTCATTTATGAATTTGATACTAGGGAGATTTCGCAACCTTACAAAAATGATAACGAATACGTCATCAGCATTATCGGAATTTATTATTATAAATATTATCATTATTATTGATATTTTCATAAGTGGCAAAGACAAGCCAAACCAGTCACTCGTCGCAAAAATCGATTTTGAATTATTAATACAGTGTTAGAGAGTAAAAGAATACCTATAAAATGGTAATCATTCAAATCGGACATTTCCTTATGAAGTTACAAGCATTTAAACATACAGCTGTTTAAAGAACAATATATGAGAATCAGCCTTCAAAGTTTATGATTTCAGGCATTTCTCATGCAGAAACTATCATCAAATCCTTAAAAAGTGTTGTTTTAACATTGAAAATGGGGAAAATAACAGCATAGAATGATGTATAGATATGTAAAGATTAGTTTAGTGCAACAAAATAGATTTAAAAAAAAATGACATTCCAGCATGTTTTGGCCACTTTCTCTGAAACACGATTTGCGACGAGTGACTGGTTTGGCTTGTCTTTGCCACATATCATTATATCAATAATAATATTGACAGCAATATTAGTTATAACAGTTATAATAATAATAAAGAAACCATTTTACAATACCTTTGGCCTTTTTCTTTAATTGTCCGTACAGGTTAGTTGTTTGAACTACACTGAAAGACATGAGAAAAATAAATTATAAATAAAATTTTTTAAAAACTACTATTCAGAAATACACACAATTAACAAAATATATTTCAATGAAACAGGTTAGGAAAAAAAAATATTTTGAACACATGCTGTATGTTACATAACAATGGGATTGTTTACTGGTAACCATGGTAGGCGCTGCACTGTAGAAACCGCTGGCCGCCAAGAGTATAGCTTTATCCAGAATATAAATTTCTACGAAAAAACATGTGACATACCTAAATATGGTCATGATGCCAGTGGAACGTATTTCGTTTGCATATTATTTTTATGATTAGAGAGGGCGCCCTCCAAACTCAACCTTAAGGATAGGCAATTTCAAGTTTATTTATATTTACATTTAAATATTACATTTACAGCCAATCACAGGCTGGTCAAGGCAGGATGTTTACATTTCCAAAAATATATACTTTAGTACAGAGAAGCTGTAATACTCATAACTCAATAGTAAGTCGATTCCAGTAAGTAACCTATCATTTTAAATGTTATACAGTGGAGAACATAAATATATGACTAACATTATTATTATTATTATTATTATTATTATTATTATTACTATATTAAAAAGTCAATTTTTATGTTTTTGTCGCTCATGCTGGTTTTTTTCACGGCAGGCCACATACAGTATACAGGCTCACAACAACGATCACACAATATACCACATAAATTAACTAAACTCAACAGTGATTCATGTGTCATGGTTGAAAGGCAATTTCGGAATAACTCCTTTTGTAAATTGTTTTTGATTGGACAATAAATGTTATTTGAACTTGAATTAAATACTGTTAATGAATACATTAAACAGAATCGCTATATTGATAAATATGATTGACAATCATAATCAGAGCTTTACTCAAAATGGATATTTCTCAGGGTTTATTGTTTTTTTTTATGCTTCTTTATTCTGTTTTTAGCATTTGTCAATGTTCTTGATTCAGTTTCAGTTTATTTTATTGACATCAAAATCGCAGCTGAATTACTTGATATTTACAAGAAAATGAATAGTAAAATATCAAAAAGTCAATCAAGCACAAAACATGACAGATTGAGTAAAAGTAACATAAAAACATTTGTAACATCACCATTTCACAAAATATTTAAAAAAAACATTATATGAACAAAAATCAATTATTTTCAATTATCAATTATTGTAGCATTATTACTGAACTACAAATAATTATCAATTATTATTAATAAATATACAAATTGAAGGGAAAAAAAAGAATTCAAGCTTGATGTACTGTGTATTTTATATGGATTTTAATTGCAGAAATAAAGATTTCGTGAATTTGATGAATAATCTTAGTAGGATTAAAAAATTGGAAAAATGGAACTCACTAGGTAGTCAATACAGATTGCTGTCGTATGATTGGACTCCTTCTAATCTCATTTATTTTCGTGTTCAACAACAGCATTTTCTGTTCCAGTTCTTCTGGCTTTGAACTCTGCATGGATGAGAAATTTGTTGTATTGTATTGCCACTATCACCGTGGTCATCATCATCATTTCACTCATCATGGTCTTCATCAACATCATCATCCTCCTTATTATCTTCATCAACCTCCTCCTCATTAACATCCATAACATAATAATAATAATAATAACAATAATAATAATAATAATATTTTAGCATTTATATAGAGCCCTAATACCGAAGTCTCACAGCGCTTAAAAGTATGAAGTATGGAAAAGGTGAGTTTTAAGAAGAAATTTGAATTGAGAAAGAGTTGGAGCATAACGGATGACAGTGGGAAGTTGGTTCCAGAGAAAAGGTGAAAATGCATAAAAGCCTTTGTTATTTGTTATTTGTTATTTTAGTATATATATAGCGCCTATTCCGTTGTCCCTGGTCATTGGGTCCACATGCTAAGTGTTGCTGCCATATTGGTGCAGTAGCAGGCATCCCAACCAGGTACCTATTTATACTCCTGGGTGGAGAAAAAGCAATGTAGATAAAGTGCCTTGCTCAAGGACACAAGCAAAATGCACAGCAAGGGATTGAAGCCCAGACCTCAAGGTTAGGAAACCAAACCGTTGCTGCTGCACCAAACCACTTCCACGTGGGGGGGGGGGCAAATGTTAAGTTTGTTTTTGGTGCATATAGTATAAAAGGATGAAGTTTAGAACAAAGGTCAGCATGTAAAGGAGTATGTAAAGTTATAAGTCATACTGTTCTTCTATAATTCTCTCCAACTTCATTCTCAATATCATCATCCTCGTCTTTCTCCGCATCATCATCATCTTCATTATCTTCATCCTCCTCATCATCATCATGATCATCAATCCTCATTCTCATCATCATGCTGCTTTCCTGTATCATCCTCCTTATTCTCATACTCATCACCACCACAACCCCCACCATCAACATAATCCTTATCATCTTCATCAACATTCCTATTCTTCACCAAATCGACTACCATCAACTCCACTACCATTATCATAATACACTGATCAACCTCATCACTGCCTATTATAAATATCGTCTTCCAAAACGATATATTCACATATATTCATTACAACTTACACGCAATATTTGGTCCACAGTCTTTTCAGATCCAAGCCAAGATCTGTGTATTTTCTCAGATGCTGCACGACAAAAATAATTATAAAAATATTATTAGCTACAATAATTCATTCAAATATTTTTAATGGTATTGGCAAATCTCAATAAATAGGAAAAAAAAATCTGTAATAGTTAATATTTACTTTACTTTTAAATTCACAACAATTTAAAATAAAAAGTTCATTGACATAAAAAAAGCCTTATATTAAAACTAATATGAGGTTTGACTGTCAAACCCAATAGAATGTTTGATCATACTGGTGAGTTAGATGACCAAGCAGTTAAGGCAGCTGAGAAGCACCCCAACGTACGGCCATAATATCTAGTTCTGGTGGTGGAACAATTCTTCTTGGATAAAAATTATAAACGTACTGTAGGCCCAGTGTACACTACTGCCTCATGTGCACTACAAAGAACCCAGTACATCTTTCAAACGAGTAGGGGTTTACCCTGGTGTACTGGTCCATACAGAACTGTTGTGGAGAGCTAGTACGGGTTTACAGACATGGAGAGACCCTTATATTAGGGAAGAAGCAAGTTACTCAATAGATCAATAGAGCTAGTACACATTTCAAGCGCTTTGAGACTGTTTTGGTATAAAGCACTATAATATATATACTTGTTTAGATATCTGATCCAACAAAACTGCATGCCTTTCAATGTATGTAACAATGTTCTCTTCATCAGTCTGATCAAATATTGTCAAGTCTGACAGATAAAAAAATCTGATATTGTATTTTTATGCCAGCTTAAATGTTTGTCCACACTTTCAAGTTGTATGTGACAAATGTGTGTGATTTTTCTTTCTAGGCCTAGTAGTAAGTGTGATCCCCTATACCACAGGTGGGCATAGTGCAGCCTGCAGGCCACATGTGGCCCATCGGCAATACCGCAGCTTGCGAAAAACTTATGTGCGTGGCCCGCCTACCATCTTTGGCTAGAAAACCCCTTTATGGCCCAATATTTATAAACAGTAGTATTAAAATTTGTATGGGATAAAAGCAGTGCATGGTTTCCGGAAGGTTTTTTTTGAAATTTCGAAGATGTGTGCTGCCCCAATGTCAAATCAACAATTCAATTTTTTTGCCCACCCCTAAACTATACCAAGAGTTTCCATAAAATCACTATGGCAATGGCGTGTGGCAATTTTAGGGTTTAAATAATAATTTTTTTTCTTTTTTTTTTTTTGGTGTACTCACTTATTCCATTTACTGCTTGTTGTTGGTACATTTCAATATCATGTCTTGCACTATCAAATAAAAAGAATGAGACAGTGATTAAAATCTTAATCTTTCTGAAATCATACTACAGTAAAGGATAGCCATGCATACAAGTGTGGCATGATAAATCTAAGCTGAACAAAATTCAGGGAAGTGTCTAGATAAATAAATATACATAAACACCTTAAAGGGTAGAGGGTTTGATATCATAGAGGGGGGTTTGTCTAACCTATGAAAACCCCCAAGCTAGAGGCCTGAGTAGGAAGTACAAAATTAAAATAAAATGTGGGGACAATCTATACAAATTATTGGAACAGTGTTACAATTAAAATTCAAGGGAAGATGATGAGAAATGAAACGTAAATTGAAGGCACCTTGTCCTAAAGAAGTCGAGGACACCCTCTAAGTTCCCTTGCATCTTTTTCAGATAGTCATTTAACCTGTTAAGTTGATTTAATTCACTCAGCATAGATATTCTGAAAAGAAAACAAAGAATAAATTAAATGAAACATTATACTGGCCACTGCAATGCACACATTAACCTCCAGAGGACATTCACTTCCAACCAGGATTAAGAACCAATACTTAAAATATTTGGAGTGGGTAAAGTCAAAGGTATATATAGTGTCTTATGGCACCAGCAATGTGACGAGCACTGGATTTGAACTCGCAACCATTTGGTTGGAAAGCCTGAAGAATTTCTATCAAACCACACACTTCCATTATACTCACTCAGCTGCTCTAGCGCCCTCTAGGAGTTTGTTGAAAGATCTATCCATGTCTGTAATGAGAAACAATCCCTGGCCCCAAGCTTTTTTACGCTCTCCATAGGGTAGTAAAGTGTCTTCATTTTGTACTGAAAATAAATTCAATATGCAATTAAGACCTTATAACATAAACATCATAGTCTAGTACAAAATGTAGAAAAATTAAAGTTCACTTTTTTTCCCTTTTTTTTTGTTGCTAGATTGCATAAAAATTAACTCCTAATTTTAATCTTTTAATGAAAATTAATTAAAATTAAAATTAATTTTTAATTTATTTTTAATTTTAATTTTAATTTTTTAATTAAAATTAATTTTTATTTATTTATTTTTTAGTTTTAATTTTACTCCTACCTTTCATAGCATCATGTGAGGTATTAAATGAATTTATGAATTATGGATTCAAATAATAGCACGGGTTTATAAAATTAACAACAATATAACAATAAAAATAGGCTCACAGTGGGAGTGTGTGCCTATGCCCTATACTGCCTTACTCAGGGCCTTACTGTGTTGTAAAGTATGCACATGGGGATTTGGTTCAAGAAATTTGTGGTGTTTTATATTTTTTATGACTTTTGTACAGTAACAACATACAAGGACACATGGCCCATCATGCACCTCCACCAGATTTACCCTTCCCGCCATCTTTAATTGCCAGATCATAACATAGTGTCTTTGCCCCCCGAGGGCGCATAGACACATTAGTCAATACTCCATCCCACCAAAACTACTATAAAAATTACCCAAATATAAGCACGAATAAATATTAATAATCATTATCTGTTATTTTTTGACACTAGAAGAAAATAATATAAGTATATACCAAAAACATATATAAATTATTTATAAAATGACTAACATAAAAAATCAATGAAGGTGCTTACAGATATGTTCAACTCTTTCTGGAATGCTAATCTGTTGAGGTTCTGTGTTTAAATAAGTTTTGTGAAATAGAAAAACTGTCATTTCACTCTGGTCCTGAAATGTAATGAAACAAACAAAACATTGCATTTTATTTCTTTTCTTGTAAAAAAATGTAGACAAAAATCATTATTCCGTATTTGTATGTTTCTATTTTTTTAATTGTACGTTTATTGTTTGTTTGTGTTGGAAGGCCTTTGCTATTAGCTTAATGCTATTTGGTCCTTCCTGGGCTTTTGTAGCTCGAATTGTCATAAATAAATTAAATAAATATTCAAATTAACGCCCCGCTTTGAATAAACGTCCCTACCAATAAAGCACTGTCTCTAGATCCTCGTTTGGAATAAACGCCTCCCTAGTAGAAACGCCCAGCGGCATTTATTTTTCCTTTGAATAAATGTCCCCTAAATAACTGTAAACAAATGTAATGGAAACAGCATCATTCTCAACACATTCTATAAATGTTCTACTCCAGATGAATTACATTTTTTCTAACCTGGTTGGAATCAATAAGTCTTTATGATCATGTTATAACACATTTTGAGAGTCATTATGTGTTGTAGTTTCACATTTATAGTAAAAATAAGGGGCGTTTATTTGAATATACACACATTAATTTTACAAAAAAAAAAAAAAAATAAATGCCTCCCTCAAAAAAATGCCCCTCAAAAAGTCTTCTCAAGAATAAATGCCCTGAAGCGCAGAACTATGAACTATGGTATAAAAACTCACATTGCCACCCCAACACTGAAGAGCACTTGCTTGCATATCCAGGGTTTTTCCGGTAGAAAACAAAATATCCTGATCTTCGATTGCAATACCGGTGTCTTTAGCAAGAGCAATCTTTAGGGATTGGCAAGTGCTGGATTCATCAATTGGATAAGAATGGACAGATTGGCTATTGACGCAGAAAACATTCGCAAGCTGAAATTGAATAAAATATACCAACAGTGAGTAAAGGCAATTATACAATAAAGTAATATAATCAATGACAAGAACTTTATTGACAAGAAATGATAATAACTTGCACAAAATTCATAATCAAACCCAATAAAAATGGGGGCAAACCGAGGGGCATAAGGGCTAGGAGCCACGCCTCCAAAAATAAAAAATAAAAGAGAAAACAAAAAAGGACAATAAAGAAATGAAAGGAAAAAGAGTGGAGGATAGAACTTTATAACAGCCAATTTGTTTTATTTAAATTGGATGTACAGTAAGGTCTATGGTCAAGAATTTCTGAACAACAATATCAAACATCCCCCTCGGTGCTTCACATGTTGCGTTGCCCCTACCCAGACTTTTGTCTGGATCCGCCCCTGGACAATATTATTGTGGCTACTGATAATGATGACGCAATGGCATTATCAGCACCAGAAACAGTAACAGAACGGGTAACTACAGCAGCAGCAACAGCAGTAGCAACAACAGTAGTAGTAGTAGCAACAGCAGCAGCAGCAACAGTAGTAGCAGCAACAGCAGCAGCAACAGTAGTAACAGCAGGAGAAACATCAGTAGCATCAACAATAGTAGCAACAGTAGTAATAGCAACAGCAGCAGCAATAGTAGTAGCAACAGTAGAAGCAGCAGCAGAAACATAAGCAGCAACAGCAGCAGCAGCAACAATAGTAGCAACAGAAGTAGCAACAGCAGCAGCAATAGTAGTAGCAACAGTAGAAGCAGCAGCAGCAACAGTAGGCAGCAACAGTAGCAGTAGCAACAGTAGCAACAACAGCAGCAGCAACAATAGTAGCAACAGTAGCAGTAGCACCAGCAGAAACAGTAGTAGCAACAGTAGTAGCAGCAACAGTAGCAGTAGCAGCAGCAGCAACAGCAGCAGCAGTAGTGGATCTAGAATTGTTTGCAGTAAAGGGGGAGGATGTGATTGGCAAACACCTGTGACACGAGAGCAGTGGGTTAAGAATATTCTCTTACCAACTGTTGGGATCCACGGGGCAACTACCATATCAATTTGTTTATAAATATCTAAATGACACTAGAGTTTTTGGCTGATACCATGGTGGCGCAATTGCCATTTCCTGAGAAACATCACTGACAGCAGCAGTAGCAACAACAACAACAACACAACAATAACACTTTAATAATAATAATTAAAATATTGTACTATCTTTAAATTTTAACAGCATAATAGGGATGCCTTAAAAGGGAACTAGCAAAAAGATCGTACGCGGTGGATACCATACGCGGCGGATACCATACGCGGCGCTATTTACACGATCTGTTACTTTTTTCGCCAGGGACGTCACGGTAAAATCGTATATAATGGCCTTCATATCATATATAAAGCTTCGTAAAATTTGCCAAAACAAAAAAAATTTTTAAGGTCGATTTTATTATTAATTGCATATCAAAAATCCCCTTTAGAAAAAAAAATCATTTTGCTAGTTTCCTTTCAAACATGGTACTGTATCAATAAATAAAAATAAAAACTGCTAAATGTTGATCGATTAAAAGAATAAAGAAAGAACAATATGAAAAGAAATGCACCTTTGTGTTAAGGATAGACTCCAATAAAATGAAGCACTGTGCTCTGCGATTAGCATCAGTTGGGCCTCCCCTCTTACTTGGATCCCATTGCAGCAGTGATCTTAGAAACACTTCAAACATATTCTGATAACACCTGTAACAGATCATTTTTCATAAATATTACTTTTTAATCTGGACAACTTGTCATGTTTTTTGGTGCTTTTTATTTATTATTTTTTATTTATTTTATTTACAAAAACCAAAAATATTTTCTTGCAACAATTCATACCAATCCATTAACCATTTTGTCTTATGAAAATACTTGATTGTTGTCAATAACAGATACTGATTGAAATCTAGGCAAACACAAAAGTTATTATAATGTTCGCGAACGTTGTGATTCGGTATGTCAGTAAATAACGTTGACACAACATTGAAAAAATGTTGCAACGTTAGTTTTAAATTTGCGTTCTAAATATGTAGTTTATGATTCTACAAAAGCAATTACATACACCAAGCTGTAACATTATTATAACATAAAATTGTTCCCCGAGATTATATCAATTGATATACCACTACTCTCATGACAATAATACAACCATTGACATTAAACTGCTCTATTGATCAATACAAAAATATTTTAAAGAAATTATGGTTTTATATTTGGCTTATAAAAGAATAACATTATTATGAATTACACATTAAATGCTTACTTGCTAAGCTGGAAGGGTTCATGTATGTGTTCAGAATAAACTGGATTTCCTAGATAGAAAGATAAATAAAAATCATGAAATATTTGAAATAAATATGAGAACAATGCTCCTATAAATAAAAGGTAAATAAAAAGGTATAAAGGTATAAAAGGTATATCAGGTTTGCCATCCCAAGACCAGCGTACTGTTGCTAAATGTTAAACTGATTAATTAGCATAGAATATGGCAGTATTGTATACTTTTGTACAGAGAAGCTTAACACTTTTACTCATAGCATTGGCAACAGTAAGTAAATTACATGATTGCATGCCCTCTTAAAAAAAAGCTTGCCTCATCTCAGTTTCCCTCATTTGGAAATGTTCGAAGCTAACAAAATTATGCTCAAGTAGTAAAAAAATCACATCATACCACCCATTTTTAAAGCTAGCAACCCTGCACTTAATAATGAAGGCCCACCACTTCACTCACCCCTCCCCCTTCCCTCAGCCCATATCACCATTTCAAGAGTCCTAAATATACCAATGACTGATACATACCAGATAAATCAATGTACACACAGATGTCATTTTCCTTCTTTTGTCCTACAGTACCATGCCTGAATGAAAAATAAGCAAATTGAAAGTATTATCACTACATGTACCTCCCTCAATGTCTTTACCAAGTTTTAATGTTTAAATCAGGTATCATGTAATTAACAAGATTAGCTGATCTCATTAACTAGTAAAGTTGCTCTATGGATTAACATACTGCACAAAACAATATGGTACCTGGTTGCAGACCTTTGGTAGTGGATTAAAAACATGTCATTTCCTACATGTTCTTTGGGTGGCTATATAAACTGCTTTTAATGAGGTTAAATAGGTTAAATGTGCCTTATGAACTAACCAATTACTGTACTTGTTCAAAGGTGGAAGATAAGAAAGTAGGCACAAAGGATGAAGCTCACTAATTACAAATTAGTGTATGATGGAGCTCTCAATTTTCAATGGCATACCGTCCATAGTAAAAAAAAAAGAATAATATTTAATAACTAATATACTTTGACTTGAATCAAATTCTATTGTTCAAACGACCAGATGAAGTTTTTTTCAAAAATAGCTCAGAAAACTGGTTTGAGGAGAACTTTTTTACAGGTTTAAAAAGTCTCTAAGTTTATTAGCAGTCTGAACCAAGATCCCTCCATTGAAAGAATGGTTATCATCATATCTGCCAAGTTAATGTTGCACTCCAGTGAGCATAATCACAGATGATACACAGACACTTATTAGGGAGATTTCGATTTGTGAGACGATGCGACGCTATAACAGAATCACTCATTCGTGACCGTAATACCTGGCGTCTTACGTTCTTTGCATACATAGATTTGGCCAAATTATGTTCCAGAATATACTATACGAGGTGACCTTAACGTTCTTGCATGCGCAGATGACTTTTAGTGATGTCATTATGTTCTACGTCCTACAGTTGTCGTGCAAACGAAAGCTCCATATTACGTGCCAGAAGGCGCTCATGGTGTAACAATACCCCAAAGCATACGAAGTGTTTGAAAATGATCAGAAAAAAAGCACTCACCACTGAACTGGTGGTATGTTTGGCAGGAAAGGCCTGACTCCACAAATACTCTCAAACAGTAGCACACCCAGGCTCCAATAATCAGCAGTGTTGGTGTAAGACTTAGCAGTGAACAGTTCTGGAGCCTAAGGAATGAAGTAAAACTCATTCAATTCCTAATGTATGTTTGTTTTTTTTTTGTTTTTTTCAAGTAATATCATTTTTTTTAAATTATTTACTAGTAATGGTAATATTTCTTTTATATTATGACGTGAGCAATTTTCTTGACTAAACTTTAAACTGTAAAAATTTAATTTGACTAAAATATTTACTTTTGTGGTAATTTCTAATGTTTTTTTTTTTCTTTTTAAAGTATTTTTTTTTAAATGTTTTGGTATTATATAGTAGCAATGGTTTTATTTCTTATATTTTTATGATGTTTACAATTTTTATTAGAATGCTATTTGTTTAATTCGTAATGTGATTTCAATTTGTGAAAAATTTGTATATAGGGCTTAAATTAATAAAATATGTTATAGTAACAATTTTAATATTTATATTTGGTAATACATTTTAATGTTGTTTTTTTTAAATATTATATTGTAGTGGTAATTGTTTATTAAGAAATTTGTGATTATAAATATCATGTTTGTAAATTAATGTCCCAATTCAGTTACATTAATTCTAATTTTGTTAAATGTGATGACATTTTTTTTTATGTTTAATAAAGATACCAAGCACAATGAACACAATAACATTATTTATCTATTAAAATTCTGATAACAGCAAGAACCCTTCTAAATGAAGGTTAAATCTTACAAAAGAATCTTGCATGGATAGGCATTCATATATAATATAATTTAGCAGGGGACAAGTGCTAAGATTTTGCACACACATGTTACATAGTTTAAGGAATGGAAGATCTAACAATAAATGGACAGAGCCAAAAAAAGAAAGAAAATAATTGGAGACAATAATATTAATAAATAAAATAATGTTTAAAATTAAAATAAAATACATCAATGTAATTCAAAATATAAATGAATGAATTAATGGACAGATGCATAGATGAATGAATAAATGGACGGTGAAATGCAATGAATGGTTAAATGAATGAAAAATTATTAAAATAAACAGACACCCTAATATTTTTATAAGCTTTGGCGATACTTGTGGTTTTAAATTTCTTCTCTCTGTCCCTCAATAAACCTTATGTTATCGTCATTAGTAGTATCAATAAACTTACAAGATACTGCAATGTCCCAACAAATGTCCTTGCAACACTGCTTTGGTCCATGTCCTTGGCATACCCTAGATCAATTAATTTGTATATGATCTGAAAACATAATGAGACAAAAAAAATACTGGTAAAATAATCAGGGAAAACAACTTATATGTCAATACTAAAAATAGAATATTTATAAATCCATGCTTCCCAGACTATGCATCACAACCAAAAAGCCAAACTTTTGTATTGGGTCGCGAGTAGGTTTCCAAAATGATTTTAAAAAGCAAGTATCAATCCAGAAGTGCTAATTTACAAAGTTGATGTAAAGACCTGACAACTTAAAAACAGTATTATTGGTGAATCCTCATTAGAACAATATTCTATACTGTATATATATTCACCAATATTGTTTATAATAAAACATTTTTTTTTAAATATTATAAACTAATCCAAATCAAAAATACACTGGTGAAGACTGAACCTTTCAAAAGTGTACATCAAGCAGTTATCTGACCAATTAGAACATGCTATTCAAGGTGGGTGGGACTCTATAATGTGTACCCAATAGAAAGGATGCACTAAGTTTGTCATTAACATACAAAAGTCTCTGATAAAAGTACAACAAAAATAACAACTACAGTACCTTCTGCTCTTCATTTCTCTGCATCACTATATTTTCCGGCTTCAAATCTCGATGGATTACCCGCTTTGAGTGGAGGTACTCCACAGCTGAGGCAATATGTTTGGCCAACGTTAACACCGTGCTTTGATCCAAGCCACACACATTGGCAGGAAGGTTTAAAACCTTTTTAAAGTCGAAAAAAAAAATCATTATATATTATAATAATAATAAAAACATGACAAAGATGACAATAACAATAACAACTACTGCAAACAAAATAATGGATTGGAACAGTTCACAATAAAACAAAAACAAAAATACATCGGCCTACATGAAACCTTGAATTGAAGTGATGGGCATGCTAGATAAACTGATGTACATGTAAAAATAACAACACGTTAAAAAAAAAACAGCTGAAGCATGTCTGAAAAATAAATCTTGGTTTATTGCTTTTAAATTTGTGTGCATTATATCCCTGCCCGTTTGAATCCATTATTCACGATTTGAGTTACAACTACAATATTATGTTAGTAAAGGATGAATGTAGAAGACTGAAAAACTTCTTAAAAAATACATAAAAGCAGAAGCAGATCTTAATTTTTAGAACAAAATAAACAATAATACTGTAATAACAATTGTAATTCCACTGAATACATCTTGTTTTATACTGTGGGCTCAATGTTCACACATGAACTGAATTTGTATTGGTTTACTAAATAATCTGTTAGTTGTGTTTAATGTTTGGTATAGCTGAACTGTAGCACCAGGACACCAAGTTTCATGTTTGGCCTTGTGCTCATGAAACATAAATACATCTTTTTATCTTATCTTTTCTTATCTTTCACAATAATTAACAATTCTGATCAACAGAGGGCAAACAGCTAAGGTGAAAAGGTTCATGATATGTAGCATTAGATATGCTATGCCCTCTGCCTTAGACTTGGTATTAGGCGTATTCGACTGGTCTGTTTTGAGCAGCACTTTCTACTCAAACTGCACATGTCGTATTCGACTGGTCGCACAAGCAGTACGAACCTCACAAGAGCGGCTCGAATACCGCGAGCACACTCCGAGTAGTAAATCTCTCCTCGGAAAAGGACCAGTCGAATACGCCTATTGGCTTGACTGTCCATGTTCATTTTTTAGTCCTCCTCTCGAGAAGTAGATAAAGTGTGCGGCCGAAGTCTGTGCATACCCTACAAGAATTTTTCAATTTTTATTTCACTTTGCTGTTATCCAGACAACCATTTGTGTATTGGAGGCACTGTGCACTTTACTGGGGAAAATTGTGGTTTTCCTTTGCTTATTCCACACCAAAACTATTGGGCTATATAGTGTATTGGTGATAGAGGCATTTTATCAAGATGATTTTCATTGTTGGATGCACAACAATTTCTTTCCCTGGCCTGTGCCACTCATCAATTTTATAATTATTTTTTGTAAAAATATTGTAAACCATGGCCTGTCAATCAATGGTATTAATACCTAAAAAAATTTGTATGGCATGTGATAATTAGTAGTAAAAATACAGAAGTCCACATGAGGTGGATTTTGGTCCCAAAAATGTATGCCAGTCACAGTTAAAGATGCATCAGTCATGAGGTAAAAACATAATCATTTTAATTCCAATTTGAATTGATTAATTTGTATATTTAAGTAAGTTATTAAATTATTCCCCCATCAATTTTTCAGCCAGTTAATAATAACCTCCCCGTATTCTTTTGCATAGATCCTTAATGGCTGGTAATCAATTTAAGAAATTTTGTAGTCTGCCTGTAAAAATTGGTAAAAACTACTTTTTTTTTATCTGTTCCTTGTTGGAAGATAATAATTTATTTAATCATTTGAAATGAGATATTTAAAATTATATTTGAATTTTTGAGGTATTTTTCTGTCTTTCTGAAGGATAATTACATACCTGTATGTAAGTACTTTATGGTGATGACATCAGGATATTAAAAATTAAAAACATAATCTAAAAAATAAAAAAAAAACAGTACAATATTACATATCCTTCAGAGCAATCCAAACCATTACCTTTCGAAGATCCCCATCCTGACAATATTCCATGCCAAGTATCGGCATGCCTTGAGGCTCTAGAAGTTCCTCAGGAACGTCCCGTGCCCTCACTACATTTTCATGATTTAGTTTGTTCATGATGTCAATTTCTTGCTGCCATCGATGTAGGTTTTTTTCATCCAGGTCGATTTTGCATCGTTTGAAGGCAATCTGTTCACCAGTCTCCTGAAATAGGCAATATTGAACAATTTAAAGTATATTTTACAACACCTGTATATATTCTATTAATTTGATTGGTTGAAAACAGGTCACATGAGATTGATTTAAAAAGAATATTCCATGTTATTTGAGTACTAGTCAATGATTGTTGAATAGTACTTTTTCATTTCCAAGACGACAAAAATCTCAAATGCAAAGCAAGCGAGAAAAAATAGCCTAGACTAGACAACCTGCATGCCAACAAGGAGTTGGTCATACAGTAAGTCCTCACTCTGTCCATAAAATGGCAGGTTCATTTGGTACCCCGAGCAATTTGTACTTTTGAGCGAAGAAGGTTTGGAAGAATAACTGCATGAAAATTATGCCGAGTCAACAAAAAAAGCAATAAAACATGCAGTAAACCGTATGGAGTATTTCGCCAGCTTCAATGGTGAGGCTATGAGTCTATTAAGCTGAACGTGAGCTTGATTGATTCCTAGGCCTAGGTTGGTTTTATGCTGGCCTTCGAAAGGAAGAGAGGGTCTTTGTATTCAAAGAGAGCATGCAGGCGACCCGGAGAGATACTGTAACAGGTGGCTGTTTTATAAAACATGAATGTGTCTTATTCGTACAATGGGGTAGAATATTTCATTTAGTGAAAGTTTGGATGTTCCAATCCAGTCTTTCACCTCCTGAAATATTCTACTCCATTGCACTCATTAAAACATTCATTATTTGTATACTAATCAATAATTTTATGTCTAATCATCATCATCGTTCATTGCTCTGTCATAATCAATACTTCCATATGCTGTCACTTTATTTAAAAATTGTATACCTTATTTCTGTAGAGAATAACTTCGCCAAAACCACCAGAGCCTAGCTTTTTTTGCAATTCCCAGACCTTCGTAGTTACCTGCATGGGTTGAGTCATGCTGGTTGCTTGCGCCTTGTGCTTGATGGAATTCACTTAAAAATAAATCAAATATTGGAAAAAATATAACACATTTTATGGATTTTTTGGTGTGAGAAATACACTAAGGATTCTGTAATGTGTGCATGGATGAATGTCTGAACATAATTCCAGTAAATGGGCTTTACTGGTGATAATTGATGGACCACTATGTACACCTGAAGTATATTACTGTATTGTTAATAGCCATCTTGCAATGTACCGTAGTTTCACTAGGTATGTGTTGAGTGTAAATGTTAAAAGTCAAGGAATAAACAAAAAGGTTAGGTGAGCAGTGTTCCCTCTCCCAAATGAGATTTTTTTAAGAATAGGAACCTCTGGATGAAAATAAAATGACATTATCTGAGTGTGACAGACATGTGTTTGCTTGGCGTGGGGCTATTTTTATATACTTTTTAGTCCGACTGCCCGACGAGCTCTGTCCAATTGGGGGGGGGGGGGTAAAGACTCTGCTCCCCCACACCCCCGCTGGCGCCGCCACTGTCTGGTACCACATGACAACATTACACCACAGACAGTGCATTTTACAGGAATACAGCAAAAATTGAAATAATACATTTTTTTTTTTCCTTCACATCCAACAGCAAGTACACTTGCCACTTACAGGATGAGAAAGATGCTTTATAAACTAAGTCTCTTTATGAGGCTTAGGGAGTGGAGTTGTTTTGGTCGTGAGAAAAAGTCCTGCTGTGACAGGAATTGAACCCAGGACCCTGGGATCAGAAGGCAAGCATCTTAACCACTGAGCTATTCAACTCCACTCTACAATATAATTGATATTTCGGACATAAACACACATCAGTTGGAATCAGATAGAGCATCTTCCTTTTTTTGTTTGGTGCATCCTCCTGCCCGTTCGTTTTGTTTCTCTTGTTTCATGTCATGATTAATCAGACACTATTGCATTTTTTTATTGCGGTGACAATACGTCCAGGAGTGTTGTAGGCCTAGTGTTTATATGACGACCAGGCCTATATAGTTAGGCCTAGCCTAGCTAGGCCTACTACTACTGTACTACTAACTAACCATAATGACCTGTGCAGACACGGAAGGAGTAGGGAAGCAATTCATCCTTGTGTAATCATCCACCCCATCATGGTAGGTAGGCCTGGCAATAAATGACCTGAATTTGTCCACCATCACCTGATTAATTACACACTAGCATCTGACACAATTAAAGAATAAGTATTAAAAATATTTTTGAAGTACCTGTTAAAAGTAATTATACGACACCTTCTATACTATTCAGAATTTTGGTAGCAACTACGTAAAGCAAAATGTTCAATCGTAAATTTCCGCAGATCCAGTTTTATTTGGTTTTATCATCGCTTTGTTGCCGTCCGCCCTCTCTGTAAATCGGGAATTCCCCTCTTAAAATACATCACAGAACATCAGCATACTTTTTTGTTTGTTTTGGTCAGCCTGAATGGTGAGTGGATAGATGAATGGTGGAGCAAGTATATGAGTACCATATTTATTAGTTAATTATTAATTATTATTATTCTATTTTATCCTATTTTCATTATTTTTGTTTTTACTTTATTATTTTATTATTACTGTATGTTTAGTTGAATATTCCAGTAAATAATGTTTAGACTATAGTTGTGCGGTATTTTAGAAATGAAAAACAAAATAAAATGGACCACCGTTTCAATGATCACGTTTTTGTGCATTCCATCATCCTCACACTTGCGTGACCTTTCCCTTTCACACACACAATGTTTGTCCAATTACAAGGTATAATTACTATATTATTTTAAAGTATATAAACATAAATATAAATAAATAAATAAATAAATATTAAACCTTCTTTTTTCAAAATGAGTTAAGTAATATTATTTTCTTAATACTGATAAGAAAATCGTTTAGGCGATTAACTGTGCCCTCTTTTGTTCATAAAATACGCCATCAATTGTTAAATCCTATAAACTTTTTGATCAGGATAGATGACGCGATTGCGTCATAATATTATTATGGTGGATGAATATTTCTTTTTGAGATTTGTATAAAATACCAAAAATGTAATAATTAATTGTATTTTTTATTAAAATTAAAGATCATATTAATTTATTTATTATAGTAATTTCCAAAAAAAAAAAAAATAATTGCACGTTTTATTGCTGTTTTCTAGTCTTTAAGATTTTATTCTCGACACAGTAATAATGTTGTTGTCATGAAAATATCAATACGATGTAACCCAGTGTAATGTTGCCATGTCAAGTTTTCATGTTTTTAATAAAATAAACCAATGCTCGTTTGTGGATTTTAAAAGTGAATTATTTGCATGATATGTGTCCTCGAAATAGAAAAGCAATTTTAGACTTTATGGTAATAAAAGTATGGAGAAGGATTACAATTTATTTTATTTCCTGAAAAGGGAATCGAAAAATGGGTTAGAACATTCGATAAAATCTTTTACCAAGAAATATATTATTGTTCAGTTAAATTTAGAGAGGTATACTTTGATTATATTTTTATTATCTACTTTAGGTCCAATGATATGCCAAACAGCAAAATATTTTTTTTTAAAGTGGCATATCTCTTCTCAAGACGAACATAAACACAAGATGCGTTACAAAAACTATGAGGCGCCTTACTCATTATGAAGCTTACGGAATAGAGTTGTCTTTGTTTTTTGGACGCGAGAACAATTTATATTACTGGAAAAAAGCCAGGGCCTGAGACTGGAAGGTAAACATTTTAATACACCAAACTATTCAACATTGCAACTTGTGCAACGTTCATTGCAATCCCTTCTTCGGTTTCAGTGAGTCGTTTACAGTTTTTTAGTTGCCCGAGTTTAATGATCTGTGAATATTTTAATTCTAATACAAATGTGATAGTATCACCAGTTACTTAACAACCATTGACCATCAACTGAGCGAGTTTCCAATATTATGCTAATCATGGTATGTTCGCTTGCGTATATAAACTTTGAAATTTCACACGGGCAGTTGTTTCTTTTGTTGAGCGTTGACAATTAGTATATAGCAATGATGAAATCTGTCGTCCTGTTAGCCACACTTGTGTGCGTTTCGTCTGCCTTTCCCGAATTCACGGTGGATGTATTAAGGAAGGAGTTATCTGAATTCGGGAGCGGCAACTTCGAATCGAATGTAGTTGAATTGGCAAAGACACTTAAGCTGAACACTCTTGTTGAACTGATTACCGAAGCGGATATTGCAGAAGAACTTACAGGTTTGGAAGTATATTTTTTAATAGTTTTGGTTGGTGGTGTTGGTTGGTGGTGAATAATTAACGCTGAGTAGTACTAGTACCGTATATCGACTTGAAATTGACTTGAAATTAACAGGTTTTTCATTTTGTCACTCATTCCTAGCTTTCAGTAGGCCTCCTATATCAGACCATTCTAAAATATAAATGTAACTATAGCTGGTGCATGAACTGATTATTTTAGGTGACCTGACGGTTTTCGGCCCTACTGATGACGCATTCGAGGAACTTCCGAAGGGTGTTATGGCGGCAATTAAAAATGATGTGCAAATGCTGACCGATGTCCTGCGCTACCACATCCTTGGAACCGAAGTCCACTTCAACCAACTTAAAAAGAATGAGCTTCTTTTGCCAAGTCTTCTAAAATCAACTTCCGTCCGTATCAACACGTACGGCGAGGTAAGCCATCGTTGTGCTTGACGACCGAGCACTGCATTTTGTAATTAATAAATGATGATAAATAATTCATAACATAAGACGCCTAGAATACTAATTTGGGGCCTAGCGGACAATTGTTATGCGTATTTTTTTTCTCTATTGTATTGTACATTTTACTAGTCCTTTCGCGCCCGCATGTCTTCGAAAATCACAGATTAAAAGCTGGCATGAGAACTGCATTGCTATAGTTAAATTGATTACTGAATTCCAAAAACGTTTGATTAATTACAGCTTACCACAGCAACTGGATCGCCTATCTCGAAACCAGACAACATCGCCACTAACGGTGTCATCCATGTAGTAGATCGTGTCATGTTTCCTATTCCTATGAATGACATGCTAACTTTGGTTTCTAATAATGCGAATTTCTCAACGCTACTGAAAGCGATTAGAGTTTCGGGCTTTGCAGACACTCTAAAAGGTAAATCATTATTAAATTATTGGCTTAACAGCCAATGATTTCTGCAAGAACATTAATTAAATATTTATTCAGCAAGATTACTACTACCATTTTCTTCCAGGTGGTCCATACACTCTATTTGCCCCAACCAACGAGGCGTTCGATAAACTTCCACCTGGAACACTTGGTAAACTACTAGGCAACAAAGACGAGCTATTTAAAATCCTCTCGTATCACCTGGTAAATGGAACGTTCT